GATCTATAAACCTGATGTAAGCTATGAATGTTTCCAAAATAAACGGTTTTAAATTGTAAAACACTTGACTTCATTTGCCTCCTTCACCACAGCCCTCATACGTGAGAGATTGAACCCCTTCCTGTTTGTTGGCAATCTTGTCGGCAAACAACACTTGCTGGTGGAATTTTGAGTACTAATTCTCCACCAGGTCAGATATCATACATGAGTAAAATACTTTAAAGTAAAGGTTCCTCGCTATATTTTTATTATTTTAAAACCGATTAAAACTAAATAATTTCTTGTAATAAAAAATAATTAAAACTTTTTCCAAAAATACTGTCAGTAAGCATATGTCAGTGTTTGTTGGTTATGAACAAGAAGATTCGCATGAATTTCTTATCGCATTATTAGAAAAGCTTCATGATGATCTTAATAAGGTAAATATATTTCATTAGATAAATTACAATTAAAAATTCATATGATTTAATTTTTACATTTTATTGCAGAATGTTTCTCCAAACCAAATATTGAATTTAGATCATTTACGTGAATTTGAAGCACAGGAAAGGTTTTGGGCAAGTCATATTAACATGAACAAATCAATTGTTTCAAATCTATTTGACGGATTACTTTAATCACAATTGATCTGTTTAAATTGTAGTAAAACATCAAATAGCTATGAAGTGTTTTCATTGCTTTCTTTACCAATTCCTTCAACTACAAAATGTTGCTTAAAAGTAAGTTTGATAAATTCTTAAAAATTAATTTTTACATTTAATAATCTCAGTGAACATTCAATCAACTTAATGCTTTATTATTTAGAATTTCCTTGTCTGATGTAGTCTTTAACACTATTTAATTTAGTTTGCTATGTTTTAGTCTATCTTCAAAATTAAAAAAAAAGAAATCTAAGTTTCAGTAAAGTTAAGTGAATTTTTTTATAAGAATTAGAACAAAATGATTTGAATATTAACAGTTATCACAATTATAATGAGCTCCTTAAAAATGATTGATGTCTCCATTATGAATTTCTATAAGTACACTTCTTTTTTACTGTTTGATTTTGTTTCTGATATTTCAGAAATTTAGATTAGTGGTCTGAATCAATTTGTATAATTTGATATTTTCTCATATTTGATACATCATTTATTTGTCAAATTTCTAGAAAATTCAGCAAATAATTTTCAAGAAATTTGTTCAAAATTTATTTCTTAAGAAATGTTTTTTGTTTTATATTATTTTAATAGTATGTGTATGTTGATTTTTTATGCATTTTAGTGATTATAATTATTAAAGTATATAAATGATTTCAGGGTAGAGCTGTTACTGGGCTTAGAAATTTAGGAAATACTTGTTTTATGGGTAGAGCTGTAGAAATTTAGGAATCAAAATTTAGCATAAAGCTTATAAACTTCTGAGAAATAAGCAATTTGATATCCCAAACTGGTGATGTGATATTCCAACCGAGCTCCTAAAATTCTTGGACACAGTTGCAAAACCATCGCTAATAGATCTTTTTAATAAAATCTACAAAGATGGACAGCTACCACGCAACTTCAAAAAATCCACTTTCATCCCAATCCCAAAGAGGCACAATGCCAAGCGGTGTGACCAATTCCGAACTATAAGTCTAATGAGCCATAGCCTAAAACTCTTTTTAAAAATTATAGAATATTGAATAAGAAACAAAACAGAGGCTCAGTTAGGACTATTGCAATTTGGGTATAGGCCTGGAATGGGCACTGTTGATGCACTGTTCACTGTGAGAATTTTATCGGAAATAGCCATAGAAATGCAAAGGGAGTTATACATTTGTTTCGTTGACTACGAAAAAGCTTTTGACAAAGTATAACACCCACTTTTAATGGAAATGTTAAAGAGAGTCTATCTGGACACAAATGACTACAAACTGATTGGCAACCTGTACTGGGACCAGACTGTTCCAATTAGGCTGGACGACATAGAAACATCACCGTGCCAGATAGAAAAAGGAGTTAGACAGGGATGTGTATTATCACCCACACTTTTTAATGTCTTCTCTGAACAGATAACACAGGAATGTTTGTGGGAATGTGGAAATCACGGTCGGAGGAGTGAATATCAATTACATCTGGTACGCCGACGATCTTGCATGCATTGTCACATCTGTGACGGAGATCCAACAGATACTTAACTCACTCCAGGTGGGCAGTGCGAAATATGGCATGTGTATCAATGGAAAAATGGGTAAGAATTAGTAAAGATTCCGCAACGGACATTTCCCAAATATTTGTGGACGGTGCTTTACTGGAAGAAGCAACCGAATTCAAATATCTTGAAGCCATTATAAGGGGATGGTAGATGTGACAAGGAAATTTGAACACAAATCCAAATGGCGAAATCAGCCTTCTCTAATCTCCAGCGAACACTTACAGATAAGAAACTAAGCCTGGAGATAAAGCTTAAATATGGTCTGTCTTACTGTACAGATGTGAGACATCGACCCTGAATAAGGGCATGCAGAAAAAGCTGGCAGCATTTGAGATATAGTGCTATCGTTGCATGCTACAGATAAGCTGGACAGAGCAGGTGACCAACGCATGTGTGCTGGAATGGACTGATGTGGGAGAGTGACAGCTGCTTCCTATCATAGCAAAATGCAAAATGATGTACTGTGGCCACGCCATTTGGGCCACTAACTCACTGCTTCCCATCATACTGCAGGGCAGGATCCAAGGAACCTGTTTCCAAGGAAGACAGCGGAGGACCTACCTACAAGATATAGCAGAGTGGACTCAAATTAATAAGAAACAACTAATTTACAATGCGAGAGATCAGGAGGAGTGGCAATTGGTTGTTAGCAACCTCTGGCTTGGAGAAGATACATAGATAGATAGATATACAAATTTTTCAATAAAACTAATAATTTTTTAAAAATTTGTTTTAAACTTTATTCAACTTGTAATTTTACCCATCTACAGGTAGTAGCAATTTACATTATTTTTTAGAAAAAAATTTATATCTTACACAGCAACCTTTTTAAAGCAAATTTTATAATATATTCAGTCAATTACCCAAATTTTTTAAATTTTATTGTATTTAATAATCTGCTAATGTAAGTTTAAAAATATATTTTGAAAATAATATCTGTAAATATGTATGTATGATGCAATTTATAAATATTATCTCTTTTTCTAACTTCTATACAAAAATTAAGGACTTAAGAGGGGTCGTTAAGATCCAAGATGCATTTTCATTAATAAAACCTATATCAATAAGAGTTTCTTGTGTGATAAGTTACTGAAAGAAAGCAAAAAACTTTAATTTTTTAAAAAAATACACAGAAACCAGTAAAGGAATGATCAAGTAAGGATTTGTCTGTAAGAAATATTCTTTCATTTCCACAATAAAAAGTATGAATTATTGGCTTTATAAACTTTCTGATCATTCCTCATACATTGTAAAACAAGTTGGGTTACAAGGATAAGTAAAAATTGTTGAAGATGTAATTAAGCACTGTTTAAAATTCAATATTTATTTGTTTAATATAAAATTGTTGCATACATTTTGAATATGAAACACAAAAATACTAACATACAACATCAAACCTTATTTGAGGAATCCACAAAAACTTGATGGACTCTTTGGTATTGTGTGTTAGTAGACATGGAGTCATTATTTACTTACCTTAAGTACACAAAAAATATATTTTTCCTGTACTAGAAAGTATGTTTTGAAATATATTTGTATGCATATTATTTTATTATGAAACCTTGTACTAAATTTTTGCATAAAATTTTACATGGTGAATTAGGAGGGACTAGAAGAAGTGAACGAGAAAATTTAGAGGTTACGGCCAACATTTTCAATGCGAAAACGTGTATGTCGGGCGTTCAGCGCCGTCTTCTTGTAAGCCTAGAAGTTTGACAATGGCATTTGGAACATCAGTGGAATTATGTTCGATGTTCCAAATGCCATTGTCAAACTTCTAGGCTTACAAGAAGACGGCACTGAACGTCCGACGTACACGTTTTCGCATTGAAAACGTCGATTGTAACCTCTCTAATGTCAAGCAAGGTAGAGAAGAGACAAGATTAGAAGATGGTTGTGAAACATTGATAGAACATGTAAGAATTTTTATTTTTATTTTTTAACAAAATAGAAATGTTTATCCTTGACTGTTAGTTCTTTACATAGCAAACGTAATGATAAGGGAAAAAATAGACAATGCAGTAGAAGCAGTTGCAGGCTTAAGATGAAGAGGAAGATGAAAACAGAAAGCAGGAGATTTTTTTGAATAACTGTAGATATACTAGATTAATTTTTTTAATAAAATTATGTTGAATTGACTTGTTGAAATTTGAGAGTAAAAACAGAGTTTCAACAGAAAAATGAATGGTATGGATGAAAGGGACATTTAATACTTTATCTGATAAAAAAATACAAAATTCCAAAAAGTAGCATTTTCTATAATATGATGTCAAAGTTTAACCTTGTATATGTATACGTATACAAGGTATACACATATTATTGTACAAGGTATACATTTTATTGTACACACATACAAGGTAACCTTGTATATGTGTTCAATAAAATGGTGTGAATCATTGATTTTAAGTACTTTATGCCTATTTTTGAAAATGTTTATTATTAATTTTTCTTTGCATTATTTTGAATAACATACTTGATACCTAATCCATGATGCTAAATGATATACAGTAATTATATCAATATATTTACAAATACTCCAAAACTATAAATCAGATACATCAGTTATTAAGATTTACAAAAAAATCCATACAAAAATTTAAATTAATAAATAAAAGTAATATAACCACAGTATTACAGTATGGGAGAGAACTATCCAAAATAAAATATAATAACATAAAAAGAAGAAAAATAAAAACAAAAACTTTAGCAACACCTCACAAAATAATAGATAATCTACCAAAGCTCCACAGATGGAGCTTGCTTTAATAGTTTTTTTTTAACTCTCTGCCCAATTGGCATTAAGAGGGCCTCTTTTAGCGGGCCCATTATGGGTTCGGTTAGGCCCACAATGAGGCAGCCGGATAGTGAGGGACGGGGCCCGACATATCTGAACAAACCAACCCTGGAAAAATTCCTGGGGATTTTTCGACCTGTTCGGATTCGATCCCAGGTCCCCCAGAGCAGTAGGCTGCCACCTTGACTGCACAGCCATCCAGCCAAGTTGCTTTAATAGTGAAATATAGTACCATCCACAAGTAGAAATATGACACCAAACAAACAATATAAAATTCCAAAACTAGAGATTTTTCACTTAATAGTTTCAAAAAATTGTCAGCTGCCATTCCTCCACATATGTAATACAATTATGGATTAATCATTTTTCTAAGATATTGACCCTGTCCCACTAAATGGCAATACAGTACAGAGTACAAAGAGACTGCCTTTTAATCATAAGTAGTCAGACACCTAATGCCAGTATTAAGGTGACTGAACAATAAAGTTGGACCAAGAAAAGTACTTGTGCTCTGGAATAATAATCATTTTTATTTTAAAAAGAAATAAGATAGGGCGTGAAATCCAATCCTATCACGCGTAAACAAAATCAATAGTTCACGTTCAAGTGACGACGTCCTTATAAATCATAGGAGGATCTTCTTGTATGAGTGGAGACTAATTGACCAGTCCATTAAATAACAGTGACAAGTTTTAATAAAACAAAGGAAATAAAAATACAATATACTGAGAGATCAAAATACAGTTGTTCCTTGATAATCTGACATGTATGGGACCAAAGGGATGTCAGATTACTGAAAGTGATTACATATTTGGCATTGTTTTGCTAGCAGTAGTCTACAATATTCCTACATTTTATGAGTAAAATGTTGCCTAGGTTAATATGGAAATGAAACACCCACTTCGGTTAACTAAAACGTGTTTATTAGAAGAAATATGGGATCCAATAAACGTACATACAGTATGTACAGGCATAAATAATACGGTACATACAGTAATTTATAAACGTTATAACTAAATGCCACAACATATGTAGGTTAATTATGTACAGTACATCTGATCTGCCTATATTGTATAGAACATTTATGATTGCAATTTGCAATCCATGTACTGTACAAGACTGATGGTTTTTATTGAGTAATTTCATCGTTTTCTACATGACGGCAGCTCCATCCGATGTTATGCAGACAATATTTTTCAAAGAAATTTGAAATTCTTTTAATTTATTTTCTATTAATTCTGCGCATACCTCAGCAAGTGCAGGTCCATAAATTCGACTAAATCCAAGATTCCAAAATTTACAATCACCTCCATGAATATTCACATTTATATATCAGCGGTTTTTATTTGATGTCCACTCACCTGTGGTAAGGCTATGCACTTTATTATTGTTCGTATGCTGTAAAATTTCCTTCAATACCTCTTCCTTAATTTTATCTGCATATTGCATAACTACTTTTTGAATAGTTTTTGGCGACTTTGGTATCTCTTGGTAGCTTCTTGCTTTTAATAACATTCGTAAATCTGCAGATGCACAAAACTTGCTAAAAGGAATTCCATCTTTTGCTATCATTCTTGAGAGTACAGCTTCAAGAGATTCGTCATTTTTCTTGAAATAAGAGGTAATTTTTGATCTTGTATCAATCACTGGTTCTTTTGAGCATTCTTCATTGTTTCTTTTTAATAGATTAATTTTATGTTAACTCTTTGGATGGCTACGTAAACCACTAGTACTTTCACCTGCTGCTTTTATTCTTTTGTTGCACTGTTTACATACAGCTACATCTCTTGTTTCTGTACGATTAAAGTAGAACCAAACTGAATTTCTATCCATGGTTTCTACAAAATAATAATATATTATGTAGATTTTAAACCAGCAAAAAATGATAAAACAAAAAAAAATAATATTCGAAGTTCCAGGGGTGCACAACCTGCGGCCCGCGGGCCACATACGGCCCCTTATCAATGTTTATGCGGCCCGCGGACGGTACAGGCCCAAATCCCTTCTTTCGAAGTTTCTAAGTGTAGAACTTTTCCCTTTCACAAAGTCATTACCACCCAACTGTTTTATAACTCCCTGAAGTGAGAAATGGGGGGGGTTCTATAAATAAGTCTATTTCTAGCTAACACTTTCTGGTTTAGATATCGAATATTCTAAGTCTAATACATAGTATTATAACGATTTTTTGAAGAATCAAATAACATCGGAAATGACGTTCTAACATCATTTTATTTTATCAGGAAGTTTCTATTTTGGCGGGAAATCTTCAATTTTATGCTTCGGAAAACTTGCTTATTCGTCTAAATAGCGTCAAATAACAAAAATAAATGAAAATAGCGCTGAAAAACTATGAAAATAACGATTTTTTATGATTTGTTTACATTCTAGATTCTGATTGGTATTGTCGAATTTGAATCAATCTCTTCTGAAAAGACACTTATTCGTCAACCTAATGTCATTCAAACTAGAAAAAACTAACCAGAGTTCAAAAAGAAATGTACAAAAAGCTATAACAACCAATAATTTACAACAATATCTCTCCATAGACTAAGAATAGAAAAAAATTTTTTCGCATCAAATTTATTATTATTAAGTTGGACCAAGAAAATTAATACTGTAGTTGGAATAGAGTCATTATGACTAAAAGGAAGCCGTTTGCACTAAAATATTTTGGATTTAATAATTATTACAAACCGCGTCAAGCCATAAACTTGTCAACAAAGAGGGTTGTAAAATGATTCCGTGTAGCTAGAAAGCTGCGGTTTCTTTTGTTTGAAAGAAAACAGATATATTTAGGTTATTTAAGTAGTAAATTAATTGGAACTTTTTATTTACTTTTATTTTTACATTCTTTTTTTCGTAAATTTAAAATTAAATTATTATTTTTAATTTTTCACCTTGCTGTAAAACCACCTTGGGGACAGGCAAAAGGAGTTAGTCCAGTATCATTGCATAATTCACCAACAGCAACTTTGTGCAAAGAAGCTGGGATTTGAACGTCTGCTGAAAGATGTCTATGATACTGTGAACTTAATCCACTGTCATGGACTCAACCATCGACTCTTCACATTATTTCTTGAAGAAATAGATGCTGATTATGCTGACCTGCTCACGTATACTGAAGTTCGTTGGCTGAGCAAGGCAACAGTCCTCAAGAGATTTGTGGGGCTATTGGGGCCTATTATCACTTTCCTCAAAGAACGGGGAAACACTACAAGGGATTTGGAGGTACAAAGATGGCAGTGTGATTTAGCTATCCTTGCTGACATTACTGCTTATCTAAACGACCTTAATTTGAGATTGCAGGGAAAGATGCAACTTGTTTCTCAGTTGACAAGTAACATCAATGCATTTATGACCAAACTATCACTTTTCAAGTCCCACATGCAATCAGAGAACTTTACACACTTTCCACATTGCAAGGCCATGAAAGAGAAATACCCACATATGAAGATGGATTACTCTGACCAAGTTAACACCCTCCTTACATCATTCAATGAGAGGTTTGGTGAATTCCAGAAATACAAGATCTACCTGCAACTTTTTTCAACTCCATTTGATGTGAAAGTGGAAGATGCCCCTCCAGATGTCCAACTTGAGTTGATAGACATCCAGTGCAGTGATGAATTGAAATCACAGTTCAAAAATTCTAATCTCCTCACATTCTACAAAGAACTGCCAGATACATCATTTCCAAAACTGAAAGACAATGCTCGATTTTGTGCAAGCATGTTTGGCAGTACCTATGTATGCGAACAAGCGTTTTCGCTTATGAATTTAAACAAGTGCAAAACACGGAACAGGTTAACCAACGAGAATTTGGAAAATCTGCTGGTTGTTTCAACATCTGCCATTACACCAGACATAAAGAAGATTGCCGCCAGCATCCAAATCTCAGCCATCGCATTAATCGCTTGGAGGTCCGGCCCCCAGTCAGTAAACTTAATCCTAATTTGGCCCTTCTTCACAAAAGGTTGTGCATCCCTGTTCGAAGATTCGAACTCAAATGTGTAAATCTATTGAGGTTTGACAAACACTGTGTCTTGACGTAATGGGTTATTATAATGTATTAATAAAGGTTTTGATGGACAATCAATCACGATATTATATACTTGTATTAAATTTAACTAACGCGAAATTTTTATTGTCACTGATTTCATTTTCATGCGTGAGAGTAATGGGAATTCCCCAAGAAAATAGGGTTAGAATAATACATATTTTGCACAGTCTTAAGGCATAATATTAGAATCTTCTAATAAATATTTGTATTTAATTATTTTAAACAGTTGTTAGAAATAAAAAATTTATTTAAGGTTCAAATTTTAATGTTATTTTACAATAATA